CAGTTTGCTCTTCAAGCAGGTCGGGGTGTAATCTTTTCCCGAATATGTGCGAAGAAATCGATAGTTTCTGTAGTTCATTCATTCGAAATGTTTTACTAAAGTTTCTTCTAATCAAAGACCGTTTGTGCGTATTTATTGAAGAGAAGTGAGGAAAACCAAGAACACTATCATTTCCCACGATTGACCCGTTTCTCGATAGTATAATCTCTGAGGAAGCTAATAGTGTGATTATTTTTCGAGATACATGTAAGAAGTTGAATAGTCTTTTATTGTTACAGTCAAGGATGGGTTTTTTTCTACTTAGTGTTGACAAAGGACCGAATCTGTATACTGTTCAAAAAGCATTGGACAAACAAGCACTTCTCTTGGGCTAGTTATTATTAGTGAATTTGCTGCTGGAGCTCGCTGTGAGGTCGCCGAATCACAACGTGTTCCGAAATGAAGGACAAAAAACAACAGCTTAGTGTTTCGAAAATAAAATCATTAATTCAGTTTTTTTTGACAGCTTTTATCTCGACGAGGGTCAATGTTAATATTTTTCGAAGAGAAAGGAACTGTACTTCTTTGATTGACTTGTTTTCTACATCCATTGTTAGATGTTAGACACAAACACGAAGCTGTATCTTTTTCGAACAGAAAAAGAAAAATAAAGCTCTTGTTTTTTTGTTTGCCATCATTCATGCATGTATTGATTGTATGCGCTGCGACAAGGACAAGTCTATGTCTCTTTGAAAAGGAGTGTAGAATAGAGGTTTCTTGTTGCTACTTGACTTGATTAATACATTTATTGACAGTGCTCGTTGCGGCCAAGCTGTGTGTATATATATTTTCGAGAGGAACGAAAAACAGCGAGGTAGTGCTTTTAATAGCAGCGATTGATGCATTTGTTGTTGATTATATGCAGAGAGGCAAGGTCGAATTTGTGTTGTTTGAAAAAAAAAAAGAAAAAGTGAAGTCCAATCCCTCCACTTGATATGATCCGATTAAACTACTTATGATATTTCTATGCAAAAATTTACCTATAATGCCATTCTCTTATTTACTTGTATACCTAACTAATAATTCAGCTGTCTATGTGCAGCTAATAATCATACTCTATTAGGAAAATATCAATCGTCGCATTAGCTCAAGAGACGAATGAAAATGTTAAGTGTAGACTTCTGAACCGATTTGTAAATTGGGAACGAAAGAAAAAACTTTCATGCCGATGTGCAGAAGATGATATACAATTGAAATTACCCTAGAGCATTCAAAAGAGATGAGAAGTATTAGCTGTATATGCGTGGTACCAGGAAATGTCAATCATACAATAGACGTGATTCTTTCTTTCAAGACAAATAGGTCTTACCTGTTAGGTCGGAGCTTGAGCATAACTATCAGATCTTGAATTTTATCGAATGTTTACATTCTACATTTTTTTGAACAGCGCTTAGAACAAAACCAATTTATAGTTATATATCATTGTTTCACATGACTTAGTGTATCTACTCATATGTAACTTTCAATTTATATTTGGGCTGTTGAAAGTTAACAGTACATAGTAATGGATGACAAAATGAATGTAGGATCCTCTAGAGTCTGATTCGAAATCATTCTCTATACATATATTGTACCATTTAGTGGCATAGTGATTATTATGGAGCAGACTTTCTTCTATCAGATCCTATAATTGAAACTTCATTCTTACAACTCAAACTGGTAATATATTATCGTAACCGTTTAAAAATAGAAATCACTCAGTCGATATGGGAAACTGTGATGAACTCTAGAAAAATTTGCACACTTGGCTTGATGCGCACATCTAACTCATCCACTTCGAACACTTTCAAATTCAACATTTTAATGTGTTGGATTGATTCGGTATAAAATTAGCCCGAAATCTTGTTTTAGCGTAATCGGACAACTGTGGAAAAGTTCCTTATGAAGAATTAGTTCGATTCTACAGCAAACTAGTTGTCAAATTTTTTTTTCTATCGGCATATGAATAGATAGAACGTCATAGATGATGCAAATTTACGTATTCAGATGTTACAAATCTAAAGTCAATGTCAACTGGTCGAATGAACGAGACTTTGGCTGATAAGTCTCAGAGTTCCAGAAGGGTTGACAACTTTAAACACGAACTAAAACCAGAACATGACCTCTAAATATGTAAATTTGTACTGTTTATGATGTTCTATCTATTGGTATATTTACGCTAAAACAAGGTTTCGGGCTAATTTTATACCGAATCAATCCAACACATTAAAATGTTGAATTTGAAAGTGTTCGAAGTGGATGAGTTAGATGTGCGCATCAAGTCAAGTGTGCAAATTTTTCTAGAGTTCATCACAGTTTCCCATATCGACTGAGTGACTTCTATTTTTAAACGGTTACGATAATATATTACCAGTTTGAGCTGTAAGAATGAAATTTCAATTATAGGATGTGATAGAAGAAAATCTGCTTCATAATAATCACTATGCCACTAAATGGTACAATATCTGTTAAGAGAATGATTTCGAATCGAACTTTAGGGAACTCCACATTCATTTTATCGTCCACTACTATGTACCGTCAGCTTTCAAGAACTCAAACATATATTGAAAGTTACATATCGGTGGATAGGCTAGGCCATGTGAAACAATCATATGTAACTATAAATTGATTTTGTTCCAAGTTCTGTTTAAAACAATGTAGAATGTAAACATTCGATAAAATTCAAGATCTCGTAGTTATGATCAAACTTTGACCAAACATATGAGACCCATATGTCTCGAACGAAAATATCTATAGTACTTTGATCCGTAACTTAAAGTGAGGGATTGTTTGTTTAATTACTTCTTCTGCAAAGATTTTCTATTTTAAATTGATCTTATGGAAAGAATAAAAAAAAGTGTACTAGTAAAAAAAGTGTGTCATAAATTTTATTGTTTCAAAATTTATTTATTTAATATAGATGACAACTGATTTACAATGAAAAGTAACACCTATAATAAGGGTGTGGGGTGTGGGTGTCGTTCATTTTCCCATCCGTACCCACACCGACACTCACATCCATACTCACACTCTCTGTTTTGCGAAAAAGCTAACTTTGTTCTTATATTTACATCTCCTATCGTGAGATATGAATATAAGAACGATATTTGTTTGTTCGCGTAACAGAATTTTCAATATTCATATCTTAAAATAGGAGATACTAAAAAAATCTGAAACTTTCAAAATGACTTGAGAAGGATCGCGGCGTTTTGTTGAAAAATTCAACAAAACGACCATAACTCAAGAAGAAAGGCCTATGGGCACGAATCATTTTGGGCTTTCTCTATTCTGAATAGGCCCTACTTAATGAGGTAAGACTCAACTGAAAAGCGATTTCCCACGTCGTCGATTTTTTTTCCAAATCGCTGGTTACCGGTGATTCATAGGAAAATCGCCGGTTCGAAACAGTTTTTCTTCATTTACCTTTTTTTTAAATAATTTTCCTTCTAAACTGATATTTTTAGTCTTAAAAAAACGATTGTAATTGAAGAAAGTCTAGATAATTATGCAACAGTGAAATTCTGTCAGGTGGTGCCATTGATTTTTCTATTGATTAAATTATCTCGCGAATCACTAATTTCATGGCGCCATCTTTTACAAAAATCTAAACTCGAAAGTCAAGCGAACATAGCAGATGTGACTGGTACCAGTGCCTCCAGCGCGCTTGCATCATTAGGAGGCGACGATTCGGAAAAAATTCTGACGATTTTGTAAGAGTTTAAAAATATTCATACCAGAGGTTCAACCAAGCCACGTTTCAGATGCCTGACACAAGCCTGCCAACTTTTTCAAGCGAATAAAATAATGATGACAGACTAGAAACCAGAGGTCCAAACAGAGCACTAGGGCTACTATCCTACCCGAGCCTGATCTGCCTGTGATAGGTACCAGCCATGATTTTCAGACCAGTGTAAGGGACAGGCCAACAACTTTCTTGGACCTGTGATTGACACTTGTGTGACAATCGTGGCTCGTGCCTATGACAAGCAGGTCAGGTCCAGGTAAGATAGTAACCCTAGTGCTCTCTTTGGGCCTCGGGTTTCTAGTCTGTCATCATTATTATATTCGCTTGGAAAAGTTGACAGGCTTTTGTCAGGCCGTCCAGATCTTCAAAACGTGGTCTAGTCGGACCTCTGATTCACACCCTGTGATACTAAAAAACATTCAGCTGGAGAACTGCGGTTAATCAGCTGATTAAGCGCCCAGTTTACCCGATGGTTAACCGCGGTTTTCGGCCGGTTTGAACGACATGGGCTATCACATGGTGATGTTTCCTGGTGAGAGCGACTCAGTTAAGTTTTCCGCTTTTCTAAAAAAGGCTACTAAAAATGATCGTCGTTATAAAAACCCGAATACGAGGTTAGTTTCTCAAATTGTTGAAATTCCGGTAATTTTTCAGTCCGACTCGAAATTTCTTTAGGATTTTCGACCCGTGACCTCATTCACCCCTAAAATAAAAAACGTTTTGTTTTTTGAGATAGTTGCTAGATATCGTACTGCTGAGCAGGACATCATAATGAGTCCATGTGGATGTAGAGTGTAGATGTGGGCATGGATGTGATGTGAATGTGGATAGTGAGTGTTGGTGTGGGTGGGAGTGGGGGTGTGGGTGTCTGGGTCTGAATCTCCTCTTCATTGACACCCACACCCAACGAGGAATAAACTGCGCAAAAATTAGTAACTATATTAGCTAAGACATTATATTTTCTACATACCGTTCGTACACAGCGTAGAAAAAATTACAAATTGACATATCATTTTATTAATAATCACAATGGTTGTTCTTAATGAAACATGAATTTAAGCAGTCGTTCGATCATTATTCATATTGTGCAAGAGAATCAAAGGAAAATTTCTTTTTTTTAGATAGATATTATAATTTCGAACAGTACAATCCTTCAGAGGTTCATACACGAAGTATTTACGTGAGAATTTCCTATACTATTGTATGTTTGATGTGCTACTTTGTTTTATTTGAAGAAATGGAAGTAGAAACGATGATTCAGGAAGATGGCGAAACTATTACGCGTAGTACTGCCAAAAGAAGACATTCAGGAAAACGACAGTGAGTATAACTTTAACAATATATTGCATAGAAGTGGACCGAATGAAGTAAAATATCAATTTCTCTTATTGAAGCTGGTCGAAGTGTGGTTTTTAATGTTGAAACTAAAATTTTTCTTTGAAAACAAAACATATCTTGTTATACTCTACGAATTTGTAAAACATTTTTTTCAAAATCTCATTATGGAATACATCAGCGATGATATGCATGAGATCTATTATCAGATTATAAACATTCACTTAATCTATAGAGCATATCTTTAGATAATCTTACTATCATCAGTCAAGCAAATGTCTACAATAGTTCATTTATTTTACATAGGAACAAATGGAAATCCAATTTGCTACGTTTGGGTGTTGGTGCCTTGACGATCATGTTTTTTGCCGCTCTGGCATCTATTCTCGTGTATAGATCGGTGCCCAGCATTCGGAAATCAGGTGGCATAGCCAAAAAGGAAGCAGGTTAAGTTTGAGCGTTTATTTGGCGATCATCATAATCCTAGATATGTTTAGATATTCAAGAAATCCATCTGAAAGCTATTTTTAGTACCAATCATGTTTTGGACAACGGAGATCAGCCATTGAAAATAATAAATATCGATAATATCACTGATCAAGTATGACATCTAGTAAACAGTAGATTTGTATTGTTCTTCTGCTTTTTTTTTGTAGTTAAACACGATATTCAATGGAAAGATAATTAACGTTGCCGATGCATTGTTCCGACATCATTCCATATCGAAAGGGTACTGTCAGTAAACAGCATCTAATGCTAATTTTTGACTATGTTTCAATTTTGATTAAGGATTGTATGCGAAGATCCACTATCCGGAAATATTCTTCAATTAAATATGATCACTTTTTATCCTGCTGATTGTGAGTATCACGAATATGATATGTGTAAGATGCAGCTTATGGAACAATTGAAAGCAACATTCAGTCAAATACTAAGTATTCCTATCATGATTCAGTTTGATGACAAGGTTTCCAAGAGTATTGATATTAGAATATGTACTATCACAGAATTGACTGGTAAGATAGGAAGCATTATTTCACAACAATTACATTTTTTTTAATTAAGCCACAGAAGAAGAAACAATGCCAACAGCAGCAAAGATAAAAGCAAAACAAGCAGTAATGCCATTTGCAGCGCCGAAAAAACTGGCAAGAAACAGTAAGTTCCTATAGCAAGATTGATAAACTTCTTGCAATATTTCTGTTGACAATCGAATCACATTCTCGTTTTTGAAAACATTCACAATTTTTGGGTACTCTCAAATGACTTCATTGTTAACAATAGTAAAAATCATGAACGTCGTTTGATCAACATTATTAGTACATTCTTTATAGAGTTCAGAACTAGATAGAAACTTGATCGGATTCGACATCAAGTATTTTAAATTGTTGTTAGAATTTTCGTTGCATACGTATATTTGACTTTTGCCTGCCAGTAAAGTTTACTAAATCTCACTATGATTAAATAAGTCATATGGTTAAAAGTAGATTATATTTTCTGCTAATACAAAGCATGAAATGAATATTTATATTCGAAATTTTGATTGATGGGTAAATCCATGAAGAAAAGCAACAAACTTAGTGTCTACAGAAATAAAATATGAATCACGATTGATTTCTTCTACTCTTCAACGAGAGTGCTATTCAATTCGATTATATTATCTGCAAGGTAAAATAAACTCATATATCGAATTGTTTCTCACCGTCTGTGATTGTACGGAACTTTATCCATTCAGTCTGGCAATCTGCTACGGTTCGTGAAACAGTCCTAGCTGAAGATGGTTCACTTTTCTTGCTATATACCTTCAACACTCGTTTCCAATCGTGTTTTATAAAACATCACGTTTTGGAAAAAGTATTTTGATCGAAAAAGTTGCTCACTTTTACTTGACATGAGAGGAAATAACCGATAGTATTGTATTCTTTTGAGCTTATAGTTTGTCTATAAGTAAGGAACGAGTCAAGTAGTACAATCTTCAAAGATTCTCTTTTTTCATTGAGATTGGACGACAATATAAGTTTCTGAAATCATGACACTTTTAAAAAATTATAATGAAAGTAAATTTTTTCTTGAAATTGCAAAGAAGTCTCTCAACTAAAAACATACATATCCTGGTCAAATCTAAAGCAAATAAAAAGGAAACTTTTCGAGGTTGCGCTATCTGACTGGTCTCATCTGCTTATGGCAAAAAATATGGGCTTAAAAAGGCTATAATTCTATAGATGATTTCTTCGAGATGTACCCAAAGAATTATTCGAATATTCTCTATTTTGACTAACAACAAGTAAACCTTTCGGTCTAAGCTCTTTTTAAATACTTTTTGATCCAATTAGTAGAAAAAATTGCTCCAGAAGAATGATCTAAATCAAATGCATTAATTCAGTTATCACTATACAGTTCTTAAGGGGACCCCCCCTCAGAAACGATTTTCCACTTTTGACGGTCTTTTCATGCTGAAATTTTCAGGGATGACTGATCTTGGTGAGATATACTTCTGGTAAAAATTTCAGCTCGATTGGTCGTACTAGACAAGATTTCCAGCTGATTCATGAGTCATTTTTGGCCTTCAGGAGAATTGGTATAACTGCGTCATGAGAAGAGGTAGAGAGCTCGGGCTAGTTTCAAATTAAAATACATGTCAGTATGCAACTTTTGTCCGAACAGAATTTTGATATTCCGTCCTATTTGTTTTTTATGAGCATTTTAGTGCGAGGGTCTCAAAATTAGCATAAAAAATGGTAGTCCAATGACAGTAAATTCTACTTTTCTCAGCCCAGGAACCAACTTTCAAAAATCCGTTCGGACAAAAGTTTACTCTGATCAAGACCTTTAAAACAAAAAACAAATATTGGTAATAGCTCGAAAAATGAGGGAGGAGTTCCAATTTTTCTGATTGGAAATCATGTTCTGAGAAAAACATTAAAAAAGTTTTAGAAGTGGTTTTTTTCGGTCAAATTCAAAAAACTCATATTAAAATGGCATATTTTCTAAAACTATTTTAAGGCGCGTAAAAGATGCAGTAAAACTAACGCCATCTGACATGCGGGTTAATATCAAAATGTTTTATTCAATGATAATTGAAGTAATAACGGAGTTTTTCCAAAACAGAAAAACTTTAAAAAACCACGAAAATTATGGTAAGGAAGTTAAAGTCTGATTTGACAAGTCTTTGAAAAACGGATCATTTTCCAAAAATCTATATATATTCTGAAAGAGGAAGCTTCGCTCTATCTTCCTGTGGTAAAAACTCAATTTCGATATTGTTTGGAAAAAATCGATTTTCTGAGGGGGGGAGTCCCCTTAAATCTTTCACTTACCTTTGCAGATTTCATGGTTCAGTTTCTTCGTAAGTTATCAAACTACTGTTACATATAAATGGCTTGAAATTTTCGTGAAGCACATGATCGAAAATGAGTGTTGAAGCATATATTGAGAAAAGTGCCCTCATTCTCCCGTCCACAGACTATGATTGGGCTTGCAGCATGCCTTTTTTTTTAGACTTTCAGAACATGAAATTAGTTCGTAGTTATCACATAATTCTGTGTATATACTACAGTCAATTCTATTTTCGCACCTATGCTGGAAAAGTGACGCTTATAAAATACTCAAAATCATATCTTGCAGACTTTGATCATGGTCTTGATTGATGAAAATTAATAACTGTATGAAGATACATCATAAGTCATTCTCCATAGGATATGCAACTCGAAGTTTGTCCTCGCGAAATATTTCCAGTTATAGACGACTATACTTTGTTAGATTTATATCGTATTCCTGCCTGAATTCATTAATAATAGAATAAGATTTACATAACCTAATTAATTATTCTCTCATATTCAAATTCAATCCTGTCGTATTCAGTTTTAGTTGACATGGATTTAGCATACATAATGTTTGTACATTTTTCTTTAATTTTAACCTGAACAGATTAACTCATCCGTTCGTCTTTCCTCAACTATTTCAACTCGAAAAAGAAGGCTAAATGTATCTGTAAGCAACTGCATATGAGTTCGACAGTGCTTTCATAGTTTAAATACTACTGACCTGTTTGATTTGTCGAAAATTTGATTATTCATTCTGTACATTTCTATTAGTACCTCGCTCTATCGACAGACGATATTCGGCACTTCAGAGGTCTCGATGTGTTCTGTGTATTAACAAAATCGGACTTGTTCAAATGCCTGGCGAACACGGGTCAAGTATTCAAGATGACGTACAAACGAATGCCTTTTCAAGCAATTACCAAAATCAACCTTATCTGACTGCTACAGTTTATGAAGACGGAACCTATCGATTACATGTCAAACTCGATTGCGATGAATATTTAAGCGGAGGCTCACGTGACAATCCATGTAGCCTGTCTCTAAGTGTGACCGAGTGGATTGACTTCAACGACAATGGATTGGATGACTCAGAAAGTCGACTTCTTCAGCCCGCTTGGTTAAGCAATGACGCAGCAACGGGTATATATAATTTGGACGTATACATACCTAGAGTTGATGAAAGAACTACAAAATCTGGACCACATCGCATGCTTCTTACTGTGACGCCAAGCGCAGAGTACCAAAGAGAATGTGGCGATTTTTCATACAAAGAAACACGGGAATATTCAGTCAATGTCATACGACGAGAGCGACCTACAGGTAAATCATTGTTTGTTTACTGATTATAGATTTTGTATCATAACGGTGCATATTTGACCATTTATTATAAATGTCTTTTAATTGTAGTTCCACCAACAGCTCCAGCTATCTGCCCACTAAGCGTCGCCAGAATTAATCTTGTGATAATGGCTGGCGAAAAGGGTACAGAGATTCGAGATGATAAACCAACAAACACTAACTTTCTCAATCAACACCATATGGCCGTTACACTTTTTGAACATACTGTCTATTTGCTACGTATCCAACTAGATTGTTCCTCGCAATTGAGAACTGAATTAACTGCAACTGGTTGTAATCTTGCTCAAGATGTTAATGTTTGGATTGATTTAAATGATGATGGAAAATTTGATGAATCAGAAAGTGGAACTCCTTATCGTTGGCCAGTAACGAGTTATATGGCAGAAGGTATCTATGATATACAAATATATGTACCATTGCTCGATAGCAGAAATATAAGAAATGGACCACATAAAATGCGTATTTCTGTCGTACCAAGTAATTATTATCGAAGCACCTGTGCTAGCTATGAATACAACGAGGCACGAGAGTACTCGGTCACTATTATACCGAGAATGAAATATTCTTGTAAGTATTCTTCTGTTTATAAGTGAATAGTTTTCTGTGATAATGTTGAATGAAAAGAGTTAAAATAATTCGTTTTAGTTTTCGATGTGAAGACAAACACTATTGGTGTTTATTAATTGTTACTTACGCTTCCAGCTCTTTAAGAAAATAATCCATTTTCACCGAAAGTTAAACACTTTTTTTTTTGAGTTTTTCTTAACTATGAGCAAGCTGTTAAAGACATAAGAATTATCAGACATATAGTTTGTTGAGGTAAATTATAGAATATTAATGTTAAGGTTGAGATTAGATCATACTATATCAATTCTGGAAGCATATGTGAAATCTTTAAAAAACACAATTTTCATCATTGTCATCTGTATGAATGATGTATACAGTCATTCAAAAGCCTATCTTATCGGAGTATATGCGATGATTTGTCATCAATTAAATAGTATTTGCAGAGTAGAAATTAAACTTACAGCTGATTTAAAGACAATTCTCGAGTATTGCAACTGAAGGAAAGAATCTGCATTTCGGACACCTAATGTTTTTAATAGAAATAGTTTGTCTATTCAGTTATAGACAAACTAGCAGCTCACATATTTACTAATACAAAAGTGATAGAAAAAGTTAGAATTAAAAATCTATCAGCGACTAGAAACAAGTTAGCACAAGCTTTTAAATCCTCACAACTGTAAAAGTGATATAGGACACCATTTTAAAAAATATTTGCAAAAACAAAGAGATCCAGTAGATAGTGTTCCATAATGCTCTTTACATTAATGTATTTCTAGAAAACTAGGTTGTTGCTAGCAAGTTTCTTTCAGATAATACCAATTCATAATAATTTTAGCTGTAAGTTTCTTGCAAACATTTGAGAAAAATAGTTGTATCGTGATATTTTTTGTTTGTACAGACTGCAGTTCCTTTATCACAATCGATCAAATAGAGTCTTGTACACCTACATCAATAAGTATTGCAATAGCTGTATATAGATTCTAATTTGTTTCAATTATTATTTATTCTTAAAAAGTTCAAGAATTTATGCAGTACTAGATGCTATTCATGTTTTGTATTTTGATTAGAACGTAATACTTTATTTTGTGAATTGTTTTTTTTTGCAGCACTCGATGCTACACCTACCTCTGTGGTACCACACAACGCGCCATGTTCTCCTGATGTTGGCAAACTCATTCTTGTTGTTATGGCTGGTGAGCATCGAACACAAATTCGAGATGATCAATCAACGAGAAATGCATTGACCGGCAAAACTCGAAGTTATCAACACCTATCTGTTGTACTATATGAAGATACCGTCTATTTGCTACGTATCCAATTGGAATGCACTGGAGAATGGGGTCGAGAACCAGTTGATAACAACTGTAATCTTCCTCATGATGTGGCTGCTTGGATTGATCTAAATGATGATGGCAAATTTAGTGATATAGAAAATGCAGCTCCTTATCGCTGGCCACTCGCTAGTTATATACCACAAGGCGTCTATGATCTACAAATATATGTACCCGATATCGATGGAACGCGAACAAAAAGTGGACCACATCGTCTGCGTCTTGACGTAACGTTAAATGAACAGTATCGTCAAAAATGTGGCAAGAACTATTACAGAGAAACACGAGAATACAATGTGACAATTGTTCGAAAAAATATGAAGCAAACAGGTAAATATTTTTTCCTCTACTATATAACTAGAGACACTGAATCTTATAAATATGACTTGATTATTTCAATGATAAATAATTTTGTTTACATACCTACTCTCAAGAGCATGAATATTTATGAGAAGAATTATTGATGAGTAAATTGTCCTACAAATAGAAGTATGTTTTGAAAAAAAGAAATTCAAAATTTTAAATATAGAATAGATTTTAGAAGTTAATATGTTATTAAGCTTTTTCATTTAACAAAGTAAAAGATACTATATCAAGCAGTTTTTCATACATGTTTGTTGTGATAAAAAAACAATGCATGAACAAAATGGACAAGTCAAAGAAAAGAAAATATTCTTCTAGTCTATATCGAGCACAATAGATTGAATATTAAGTTTAAAAATAAAATAGGATCACTCAGACATCGAGCAATAGTATTTTTTTTTTATAAATTCTAATTATATCATTTATACATGCATATTTTGAAAGAGAAACATGATTTTATGTAAAAACCTAGTTTTTTGGACAAAACTTCGACTATTTTTTTTCCTCTAAACATAGAAATTAATATTTATTTTTTAAAAGAGCAAATAATACGGATTTTCTCTCGATCAAATTCAGCAATAATCATTGAATTTCACAAAATGAAAATTTTAGTAGTATGTTCTCTAATAAATGTTTCTTATTTTTGTCAACTATGGTCATAAATGGCAAATATAGTGAAAATAAAAGAGAATACTAGAAGTATAACATCGTGTACAAATGTATTAAGATTATTTATTCTTCTTTTTTGAGTTTGTCAGATAAACTCGATGTTGAGTTACATCACAAAGGATTATCTTTTGATTGAAAATGGGTATTTTTAAAAATGAATTCTGTATTAATGTAAAAGATAAAAATTTTGACGGTTCAAATTCAATTTGATAGTAATTGATCAGTAAAACATAACGAAATTGCACATTACAAACGAAGTTTTAAAATTTCTATCATATAATATGTTACATAGTTCAATCAATCGAATTCATATAGAATATTTAATTTTATGAATTTTCGTTATTTCTAGTTGATATTGGAGGTCCATATTTGACATTAAGTGATGGTGTATGTTCTAAAACTCATGGCAAAATCGTACTTGTTATAATGGCTGGTGAGAAAGGATCACATATTCGAGATGATACACCATTAAATACTCAAATCAGAGACGATCAAAATCGTCATCATCTGGCTGTCACATTATATGAAAATACTATCTATCGACAACGTATTCAATTGGATTGCGATCGCCGATCCAGTAGAGCTCCGTTTAGGATTAACTGCAACCTTGCTTATGACGTGAATGTCTATATTGATCTAAATGGTGATGGAATATTTGATGAATCAGAAAGTCGTACTCCTAATCGATGGCCACTACGTAGTACAATGACAGTAGGCATTTATGATTTGGAAATTCCTGTACCTAGTATCGATGGATTGACTACGAAAGGTGGCTCACATATTATGCGTGTTGTTGTCAAAACAAGTGATGAGTATAACAGAAAATGTGGCAGATCGGACTTCAGTGAAACGCGGGAATACACTGTAAATATTATTCCAAAGGAAAGTGTACAGAATACATATGGTGGAGGTAATATACTTTTCTAATAATTGAATAGAAGTTTTGTATCATATCAAGAATGCAGTCTTCTTTTAAAATAAGACTTGTAACAGTTGAACTATGCAAGAGTAAAGAATCATTTAATGAAAAGAAAATTATGAAGTTTCGACAGACTACGAAATTTATTTGATTTTATTATTATTAAAACGTTTCTCAATAATCAAAAAAAAAAGGAAGTAATTACTATATACACCTTGCTATAAACAAAAGTGAGTTTTGTGAAGTGTACGATTTGTCTCCTAAAAATATCAACAAAAACTAGTGTCAATCTTTCGTATATACCAACAATGATTCCATGAAGTTTGTTTATTTTTTATTATAATATATGCTGTATTCTCTTGTTTAGACTACAGAGTCACACATTGTTCTCCTGGCAATTTAGTCTGTTCAGTAAGCAATAGTGCTATTTCTTCGGTGAGTTTATCCGGTGAGCAAAATACACAAATTCGAGATGAAACGAAACAATGTAGCTCAACAAATAATTATAATGATCGAAGTGATTTAACTGTAACATTGTTCGATAATACGGCTTACACTCTTCATGTTGAATTATCTTGTGTCCAACAATCGGGCTATGGTAATACTTATAGCCAAGACCCATATGAGTTCGAAACAAATTGTCGTAATGCTCGGTATCTTGGTGTATGGATAGATTTCAATAATGATGGTACATTTGATGATAATACAGAACGCATTGTTCCTAATAGTTGGCATAAAGATGATCCTCGTACAACTCGAAATGATATAAGTTTTACCGTTCCACAAATTGATGGTAGATATAACGTAGGCGGTCAACATCGCATGCGTGTTGTTCTGGTACAAGATGAAAGATATCGTCAACCATGTCAAAACACTGGTTATGGTGAAGTACGAGATTATACAGTACAAATTATACAGAAACCTGGGTATTGAAATGAAAGATAGACATTTTATTGACACTACATTATTCAAGACTTTTCAAGTGTGTCTTTTGTAGTTTTGAAACATAGAAATAAAACTAACATATTGCTTCTTTGGCATTGCTTAACTGAATTGTGAATATGTAGGAAAGGCACCGTTGAAAAACTTCAAGAGCCATACATATTAGATTAAAATGTAATGCACGACGGAGTCAATTCTATCATGATGGAGAAACATCACTATGTCAATTACAATTCATAGAGGCTTGAAAGAGGACTAGGTAAAAAAAACTTCGGCTACCATAGTAGGCATGTCTGTTACGATTTGTGATGCAGACTACTACGGAACTCATTTTTCTCGCTATATAGTTTGGCATTCACTAACAATCATGTTCCATCAAAAAGGTATCATCAGCACGAGTTTATCTCACTTACTCTATTACAAATGTCACTAACACTCACTGTATTGAATTGTTATTTTCATGCTTGAAACCCGCCAAATAACTTCTTCCTAGTGCCAATCTGTTCAAGACTCAGAAATCATTTCATTCATCTTCAGATGAATCTTAGACTCTTTTGACAATTCACTGGATTTTTCTAGCGAATTATGACCTGAACATTTCTATCGATAGTGTGCCGATAATAAGGGCACGGCCTTTATGCATTTTCTATTTGTTTAATGTTGTCAGAACAAGCGGTCATGCTGTGGCTAGATGTTCTGATCTCATGGCCGATAGCAGCTATCTTCCCACTCCGTCTCCTTGTTTCCTCTTTCGTATATAAGCTCGTGTTTTATATGAGACTGACAGAATTGGTATGAGGAAATACTGTAGTGAACATCGTATACCGAGGATAGCGGTAGCACTACTCATCCAGTTTCTCAAGGTTGATCAACAATAAAATAAATATTGCAGTAGTAACGAAACGTTCTATCCATCATTTTTCGTTATACATACGTATTATTGCTTTGTATGAAATAGTTTAAGGATGCTGTTTGATCCAGTAATATTGCACATCATTCTGATAAAAAAAACTTTTTGAAGAGGCATTCACCAAAAAAACCAATAGTAATGCCAGTATCAACGCCCCCTTTCAATACTCTCGAACGAAAAGACTTATGGAATGATCGTGTGAGTGATGTCTATTATGCAATATTTCAAGTCGATGATAGCATTCTACTTTAATATGTTTATGTAATTCTGCAAGATCTAGAAAATAAATATCACATCAGCAGTAAATCATAGGAACAATTAGGCACACAGAAAATTCAAGGGTTACATGAACAGCGATAGACAGCTCAGGCATCGATTGATCATACGTGCAAAACAATAAATCGACCTAATAATTATGATTGACAAGAAGCTTCGTACTTGGCGTTTTGTTTTTGTCTTTTCTTCAACTAAAAATTAACATCTTAAGAAGTGTTTTAAGCTGAATCAATGAAAAAAAAAACAGAACGGATGAAGTCGCTTTACTATCAATAAAAGAAAATACGATATCCGTAATTTTAAAACAAAATAAATGTATCATACGTATCGGATGGTTCAGTGAAAATGCGTAGTTTTTTCATTTTTAAGTTTCTTCTCTACACACAGGTCTTAAAGGTCATTCATAATTGTGATACTCGAAACGATAGTATAATCTATGATGAGTGATAGTTTAAACTAATCGATAAGCTTATGGAAGATTGTAGGTGTGAGGATGGGTGAATGTATTCGCTTCAGTCTCACTCGCACACATCTACCCTTTACCATCCCACTGATTGTATAATTTCAATTTCTTAGTGTCCATCTTTACAACGTTTTTTAATTCGTATTTTTGTCAATAAAATAATAAATTGATAACCTATAGTCAGAAGTAGAAGTCTTTTCGTCATGTTTATCAGGACGATAAATAAAAAAACATCTAGATAGTTAGGTGAAAAGTTAAGTGCCTCCATAAATATGGACTTCTTAACTGCATTCGAAAACAATAACTCAATCTCGTAAATCAAATAACAAACGTGCGAGTGTATATGATCATTATTGTGAGCATCATTGATAGAAAGAATGAAATCTTGTCACAAACACTCGTATATCTTAGTTTTTTATCTTTGACATTTTCATTATGCTAATAAAAGTTTTGATATTATGTCCTTTATAAATACAAACGGGTACCTTTTGCTCTACAGAATAAGGATGGTAACGACTGTTACTTTAGTGTTTATTCTCTGTCTACTAGCGAGAATACATGCAGGAATACCGCAGCGCAACCTTATCCAATTTAAACATATGATTAATTATAAAGGTTTTAGTTCATTGGATTACATCGGCTATGGTTGTTGGTATGTTGATTTTATCTATTGCTTTTTTGAACAGAATTGAATAATTAATTCATAGGTGTGGTTTGGGTACCTATGGTTCGAAAGTATTTGATAGTACAGATCGATGTTGTCAATTACATGATCAATGTTATGATCGTATTTCGGGTGGATTTTTCGGTTGTTCACCGAAACTTGTCACCTATGATTGGAAAGGATTATTCAATGGCGAAATTCAATGTACAGATCGAGAAAATACATGTGATCGGAATGCATGTGATTGTGATCGAGTAGCTGTTGAATGTTATTCGCAGTATCGAAGTACCTACAATCCTGATTTTCTCGATGGCAAATATAAAGGCAACAAAAAAATAGCATGCAAATAACATCCATTCACTTTTTTTTCAAGAGCTTTATAATATCTAGACATTATATGAAAGAGATGTGATCTCATATGCTTTTTTTTTTGTTTTTCAAAGAGAGAACATACATAATATTGCCAGATGAATGTTGATTATCGGTGCAGAGTGGGTGTGAATGTGAAGAAAAGGAACAAACACACACCATCTCATGATTCTTACTAATTAGAACCGAGAGCCATATATTGTGATGACTAATGATCTAAACATATCGCCTATTTATCCAGACCTGATTCTTATGTGATACTTAGAATAAGTAGTGATTTTCTCATTAGCCATTGTCGATAAACAATTGAATGAACGGTATGTTGTCTTTCATCGACACTTCCGTCTTCTTCAATTCTTAGAAGCATTCGCTATGTTTATAATAGAGGCGTACGGCTCACGCTCATGAGAAGCATTACTGTACTTCGAATATGCGACTCACCCATAAGACTCGATCCATCTTCGGTTCTATTCATTGAGACTCTACAACTCAAACTCCTGAGCGCTCATCAGCATGCGCTGTACATCCCGATTATTGAATAGCCACGGTCGAGGACCCTGCTCCTCTTCTATTGTGAGGACAAAATATAGTGTTGTTCGGGTCGATTCTACAGTTGTCGAGAGCGCTCCTGTATATTACTCGAACAACAGTATGCTTTGTCCTTACAAGAGAAGAAAAACAGATTCCACGAGTATGGTTATTCGATAATCGGGATGTACAGCTCATGCTGATGAGCACTCAGAAGCTTGAATTATAGAGTCCCAATGAATAGGACCGAAGATAGATTGAGTCTTATGGGTGAGTCGCATATTCAAAATACAGATGTATCCCTCACGTTCATATGGGCTGCTCATAAGCGTGAGCTGTACACCCTCTAAAAGTTTATAATATTCGATGAAATTTTTCTGTATCCTTCAAGAAGGTTTTAGTTGCTTGGTTACACTGAACCGTCGCTCTAACCGATTCGTATTCAAACTTGATCTTTATTGTTTACTAATGCGGGAGTTGCAATTCGATAGGATGAAGATCTTTTGCATAAACAAAGTAGACATAGGTATATTAAATAACTATGATACATATAAATACATCCTTAAATTGTAAGCAAGATATGCAATAATATGTTTGAATCATAGTCACTATTTAGCTATAATAACAACCACAGAATATGTTAAGTATTTAGTTTAATAGTTTTGGTTAATGTCAAAAGAAATTATCCTTTTAATTACTTCATCCTATCATCGATTATTTTATCTAAATATATGGCAAGCATGACAAGTACAATTAAACGTACGATGGTAAAGCAGATTAAGATATAGTCATTAATCCGAACAATGAAGAGGCAACGTCTGCTAAGAATGGCTTCATCTTGTGTTCAACGGATAGCAAATACATTTTCTTTATGCATGAAGATGATGTACCAGAGACGAATAAAATCACCTTCAACACATCGATGAAATAAATAGTATGCTATGCAATATTTTTTGGAAAAATGTTAAATTCTGTTCTATCATATTGCCGACTTCTAAACCAATGAAATTCTTTTTGTTGTTAGAAAGAGCAATGTTTGAACTACAAATTTTTGTATCACACGTTTTTTCTTTCCAGAGCGAACCTGACGAGGAGGAAAAGATCAACATCAAACATCTCCAGAAAAGTTCTTGTACTTTCGCTACTGAGCAACAGCATTTTTTATTCGCTGTTTTAATAATGTATTAGATGTTAAATTTACTCTCGATTATGCATACCAAAATATAGCTTTTTCAAAAACAAAAAAAAAGACTAAGTAAGTTGGTCGTTTTTATTACCTGACGATTTTGTAATGGTAAAAAAAAATGTTTTTTGAATTATTTGTTCTGCTTAATTTCTATGACCTGAAAAATTTCAAATAATTAATCCGATATCGACAGAATTTTTGATGCACTACGTTTTTGCGCATTTTTATTCAAATTTACGATGAAAGCAGCGCTCCATCGACATGAAGACAACGGCTATGTACCATATTAGGATACTCCTTATCTCAGTAGCTGGTGTGTACAGATTGAAATAACCCAGTTTTAGTAACTATTTCTGTTTTACTTATCGTTAGGAACTCATCAGCCAATGAGAATCATCGTGTGAACTGGCCTAACAAACCATGATCATCTGCTACAACTGAACTTCCTCAGTTTCAATATTGAAAATACAAAAATAATAGTGATTTGATTGGCTACTTAGATAGTAATTCGAGTGTTGAAATTGTATGTTCAGTAGAAGATATAGATGTGTTCTTCAGTTCAACATTGTATTGCTCCTATGTCATTGATGATTGGTGATCGACAGTCATTTCAACATAAATCAAGTCTCTTTGTTGTTGAATCCGAGACAGCATATAATATTAAAAAAAATGACAACATTCATGTCTTGCAGAGAAATAATAGAGCTATTTTGAAGACTAGTCCTTTCTAAAATAATCATCCGATTGTGTAGTTCAAATGAGCGAATTCAACAGTCATATATAATACACAAAATCTTGTTTGCTGACTAAATTTTTAGTACTTCATTCTACACATGATTGTAGGACTTCGAGAAAATCTCAACAAGAACATACGATGATCGTTTTATGTAATTTGTATAATAAGTTATCGATCAATACAAAAATCGGTATCTTTCAGCTGAGATTCACAAAAAAGAAAACTTATCCCGTTTTACTTTTATGCTTTGAAACCTATCAGAGTGTTTAGTCCTTTTAACTCCCTTTAGTACCTTTAGTCATTCACACTCTAAAGGCATTAAAATGACTAAAAGGGACCTAAAGATAATAAAAGCAAAATGGGATAAACTTATTTTTTCGTAGATCTATGTTATCGTACCTGATTGATATGCACGGTTGAATATAAAGATGTAAAAAATTTCATAAGGTGGTCCGTTCTTCAAAATTCATGAAACACTATATAAACGTTGGCCATTCTCCTCAAAGGTACCATAGTTTAATTATTGATGATTCTAATTTTATTGAAATCAATTGTGTATATCGATAAAATCAAATAACATTTCAATATTCTACTACTAAGTAAAATTATTGAAGAAATATCAATATGTATCAAACAGTTTTTATATCGATATTTTAGTTCACAATCTAAGGAATTCAAATTTTTATGCATTTCATCAACTTATAGTATTGATCTATTTATCTCTCCTTTCAACAATCAACAAAAAAAAAAGAATTTATAAGAAAAGAAAGACATCTTATTCGAATAACAAGTTCTTTATCTTCTATCTTTTCTTTCACGATTACATTTTTTACTATCAACACTTACCATCAACAGACATATATGAGGACCTTCGAACGAGAAAATATTTCTTGTATAAAATGTGGCACAAAAGCCGGTATGTTTATATGTCGTGGTTGTTCAAAAACGTTTTGTTTAGTTCATACAAATGAACATCGAGAAATACTTGAAAAACAAATGAATGATATAATAATTAATCATAATCGTTTAAAACAATATATAACTTCTGATCAAATAGAACAATATTATCAAGTATTAATGAAACAAATTGATGAATGGGAAAAACAATCAATTAATAAAATTTATCAAACAGCTAATGAAATTCGTCAACAATTAATAATTATGACACGAGAAAATCATAAAAATCTAAAAGAAAAATTAACACCACTTACACAAGAAATAACTAAAGCTCAACATGATAAAAATTTTTTTGAAGATGATTTAAAACAATGGACAAATACAATTCAATTATTAGAACGTAAATTTATTGAACAAGAAAATATTCATATTTCTCTAATTAATAATGGAAATCCACTTGTTTCAAAAATTTCACTTATTAATAAAATAAATGATACTATAACAACATCAAATAATTTTCTTACATATGAAACAAATTATAATCCATTTGAAAATTGTACAATATCAAATTTAAATGATGGATATTCATCAGATGATCATTTATTTCGTTTTAAACTTGAACTTTATCAATCAAATAGTTTAGTTTTAATGGGTATTATATCGAAAAATAAATCAAAAAATATAGATCCATATAATAATCCAACATTTTATGGTTGGTCAACTAATAATCTTGTTTATCTACATGGTATTGCTCATTCTGATTCTAATAATTATCAAAGTGATATAGAAAATAATGATGTATTTCAATTAATTCTTGATTGTAATCGAAAACTTATTCGATTAACAAATGAACGAACACGTCAAACATATGAATTGAATATAGATATTACTAAATGTCCTTTTCCATGGCAACCACATGTTCGTATTTTAAATAATTTAGTTAAATAAAATTAAATAGAATGATTTAATTATTTGAACATATGTTGAATTTTTCATTTTCTTTTTATTTTATTTTAATATCTTATATAAATTCAGAATTAAATGTTTAATTTTGTTTTATGATAAATTAAAATCTTTTTACAAATGAGTAATTGAAAAACAAAACATTTTGTTTTGATTCTTATCATTATCTATGATGTACTGCACGCGAATACTTTTTCACGATATCATTACTATTACTAAACAAATATCTACATTAAATTTACTCAATATCCTAAAAGTATAAACGTATATAACAATGTATTAGAATCTCGAATTCTGAAACATGTTGTACACTTTAATTCTTTCAAATAAATAATAGACAAAAAAAACTAGATTGTCACTCGAGCAAAGCACAAATAGAAAAGGTGACTAACTGCAAGAGTCTGAAAAACATAAGAAGGTGATCCTATAAGACATCTGATATTTCTAAATTTTAGACTACCATAAAGGAAATCATAATGAATTTCAGTTGTGTTGAGCGCAGCTAACAAGTTCAGAAATAATGAATCGTAAACAACTATTGCATATAGCATCTGAAAAATTAATAGTCTCTTTCTGATTGAGTCATGTATAATCGTATAAGAAAATTCTCAGCTATTAATGATCGTTTTCCGCATTTTTATAGTCTTCCAAATGGAATCGAGTTTTTGAAAACGAATTTCAGCGGCGAACTTTATCTCATTTCGAAATAATGGTTAGATGTGAAGAACCGATGACTGACTTGAGTCTTGACTAATGCGTTGAGAAGAAGAATTCATCATGGTAACTAACCGAGTGAAAAGCAATAAGTCGTCTTTCAGTCAACGGGACACGGAAAAGTTTGTCCCGCAGGACTCTACAATGCATATTAGAATCTGAAGATCATACGTGATTATGAAAACAAGAACAATCGATCAGAATATAATTTTCATAACTCATATTTTTCGGCTTCTTTTCATTTACTATTTCGTTTCGAATTTCTCAAAAAAAACCTTAACAAAACAAAAATAAGAAGAAGATCACAATCATTTATTCATAATAATTAATTGAATCTGAAAGAAAACTACTGATTAATAGAACTAAATCATTAAAAATATAAAGAACTCGAATATAATTCTATCTTTTATTATTACAAATTGATCAAACAATAAGAATGAAAATCTAAAAAATGAATGATATTTTTTGCTGTTTCTTCTGGTTTATCATACGATATAAAATGACCACAATCATCAAAAATGATTACTTCTGAATTAGGAATTAATGTAGAAAAATATTCAGCACATTTCACTTCACATAACTAAAATTATTAGAAATATAATTATAAAATAAAATATTATTTCTCATATAGAGAATATACATACTTGATCTTGACGACCCCAAAGAATTAATACTGGATAATTAATATATTTTAATTGTTCATAATATTGTTCAAGATTAAGATAATCATATTCAAGAAATGATCTTAGTACTAATAATCAAAACAAAAAAAAAGATAATTTTTTCACAATCAAAAAAAGTCAAATCGAAATTACTTTCTTTTTGTTCATTTAATAAACGTAATCTTGATTTAAAATATTTATTAACAAATACTTTCGGTAGATTAGTATTATTTATTGTTAATAGTTCAGCCATAGCATGAAATTGTTCAGAAGTTTCTGGTAAAAGTATATATTCTCTTCCTGAATGTATTTGTTTTATTAAATCACTTTCATATTTTCTTATAGCTAGAATATTTTTATAAAAAAATATAAACAATATAGACATAATAGAACTTACGAGCAGGTGCAAGTAAACACATCATATTAACATATTTTGGATATTTCGTAGCAAAAATAGCAGCAACTGTTGCACCTAATGATGTACCAATAATATACATTGGTTCAATTAAATTCATTTTATCAAAAAACTAAAATATGAATTTTAAGTTAATTCTAATTAAAAATAATTTAAATACCAATTTTAATTTATCAAGAAATGTATCAATATTAGGATCATCTTCTTTTAATTCAATAGTTTCTCCATGACATGGAAGATCAATTATAATACAATGATAACCATTTGGAATATTCTATTAAATGAATAAAAATTTATCAATATTATGAAATAGATGAGTGTATTACAACTTTTTTTATACAACTGGATGTATTTTCGAGTATATAAGCTATAGCTTTCATTCCGATCGAATGATTTCAAACTTTTAGATTAACAAGAGTTCAAAAAGTTATATTAGCAATAATAATTTCAATTCTCTAACTTTTATTGTTTCGAATATATATATATTCAAATTACAGTGACGTTTGTTCTGTAGATGTTTACAATTAAATCAACTCAAAGATATTCTTTTCATAACGCAGAAGAATTTGTGAGCTGATCTTGACTACTTATTTCTCATGTGGAGCTAGAAAAATGATTCGAATGTTTTCCTCTGAAGTGTTAGACATAAAGTACAATCAAATGTACTACTCAGAAATTGTTTACATCTATTTTTTGTTTGGCATCATTTGTATTAAAAAGTTGCAATTCACTCAGATACTAACGTACTTTCATAAGAGAAAGCCATGATTCTTTGTTCGATGAAAACCCATGAATAAATATCATAGTTGATTGGCCGAGTACTCGTTTACCTTTTTCGTAATAACTAAACATTGTATTTGTATCATTATTAATTGATAAAGAATGTTTTTTAACACCAGCTATCAAAGTGTTTACTCTACAAAAAAAAAGAAAAACAATAACTGAAATAAATTAATATATAAATGTATTTACTCATAATAAAGTTTAAGAAGCCAATCCTGCGTAAACAACTTCATTGTAGGAGATTGTTTAATATAATATAGAAAAATATTTAATGACCATGATCACTTGTTTTTTTTTTTACTTGTATATTTTATGAAATGGAAAGGAAAAAAAAACGTTATGAATCATTTATGACGAAGAATATTAGAATGAATGAGTCTTATTTGCATTCTAACGACGAACATATGTAAGATGCAGGTAGATATAATGGAAAAAAAAAATTTTTTTTTTCATTGCGAATATATATTTGTTTTCCTATTATTGTTTAAAAAGACCTTGAATGTATTACATATTTATTATTTTCTTTAGTTAAATCTCAACAAAATACGT